GCTTTTTGTAAAGACGTCAAGTAAATACCACCCTTTATTTGTTCATTTGTGTGCACATTGCGATGTTTATCTGCTTGCTTAAATGTATAAAAGTGATTGTAAGCCTTTGTTTTTATTTCACAATTAAAACCAATACTATTATCCATATGTTGTAAAGCGCTCTAGGGTACTTTTACAAATTATATAGGGCGCTCTATAAATGTTGTATATTATTATCATTATTAGTATTTATTACGAGTTGTATGGTAACAACAAGTATTTGGCGCGAACCAACACTAACACGATATGTGCCCCAATTCCCACTTTTTCCAAACTGTTGATGTTTACTTTGACATTATCATGAATACAAAAACAAATTCCACTTCTCCGATTCGCAGATTCCAAAGAAAATGCCAATGTGTCGTAAATGAAGTGTTTCTATCAATTATGTAAATATATGCTAAATTTTATCAAAGAAAACGACGCGGAATTGTACTATAGGCCAAAAATGTCACTGATGCTGAAACTACATCCATTTTGGTAAGACACGCTGTCAATGGGGAATTAATAATAAGTGTATAAAGGACAATATAATAGTCTAAACATGTCTTGAGCTTTGAGTTTTTAAATAGCCTTTCCCCTTCTTTTTAATTTTGAATACATTTTTGGCTGGAATAATAAAACTACAACTTCTATTCATCGTGCTTGTTGACCTAGATGGAAGTACGCAAAGGGTCTTAAGGTGGGGAGAAACCGGAGTACCTGGAGAAAAAACCCACGTGGTCATGTACTCGGTTAAATCACATTTAAATCTCACCTTAAGTAAAAAAAAAAAAAAAACACTGATGCAACTGATTTGGGTTATGCCGGTATTACCTCAGTACGTACCTACAAATGTGATATTGGTCTTAATCCGAACTTTTCTATTAGATTTGCGGCATTGAGTTTCGAAAGTGTCTATCTCTTCAGTGTAGACAATATATAGTTATATTCATGGAACCGCCTTACTCTACCTAAGAGTTTACAATGCTTCATTAATTAATTTCTATTTGTTTTGTTTATTTTTTGTCATTCTCTTGTTAAATGTTCGATCGACCACAGGGACTTGATAATTTGTTACAACTTTATTTGGACCTAAAAAAATGTGTTCTGAGTAATTTTACGTGTTTTAGGGGTTTGGTTCGACTTTCGGTAAAAATGCCACCCACACGCTATATATATATACGAGCGCATTAGGGCCGATACGAGTGGAATTTTTACCGAAAGTTGGTCTAAACCTCTAAACGTGTAAAATTACACTGAACAATTTAGTTTATGTCCAAATATAGCTATAACAAATTATCAGGTCCCTGTGCGATCGACTAGTTTGTCCTGATACTTATTTTGTCAATCCTAGATTCCACAGTTTTTAAAATTACAATTATAGTCAATCCCAATTAGGTAGCTAGATCTAATCACTACAAAAAATAGCTACTTATTAATATTAAAAAAATGTGTTGCTAACTCATTCCTATTGCGAAATAACGAACTAACTGCTTCTTTTTTTTAAATGTTTGGCTTGACATTTCCGTTTAGTCCGTGATTTGATCGGCATAGGCTTATAAATAATAAATAAATAATGAGGAAATATTTACCCCCTACCCCGATTCTGAGGAATTCAATGAAACCAAATTCATTACGTTTTGGATGAAAAAAATCATTTGACGTTATCCGAATTTCATCTGCTTTGTCTGAACGCAAACCTGCATCTTGTGATAGGCCTAGCCTAGCGCACATATATAAATAGAACTTTTGTAATGCCTTTCGTTTCAGTATGTACATGTACGAGAGACTCCACATTTTGATGAGAGATTCCGAATGCAATAAGCAAATGTAACATACGGTTGACCGGAAAAAATATTTCCGGATTATTACAAAGATGAGAAAAAAGTAATGGGGAATTTTCTTATAATGGAATGTAATTGTTGTTTTGAATATGAGACAAATCGGGAAAAAGCATATAAATATAATGATTTTACAATAGTTTGGTTGTGGTCACTTACAATAACGATGGTATGTGTGTACTATTGTCGCCAACAAAAGCTAGATCAATACTTATCTGAAATTCTGGGCATATGCTTAAATCTATATACACTCATCTGGGGTATTATTTTCTTATATAGTGGTGTGATTTTACGATGAAACCACTCACTTTGTTTATTCTGTAAACCGTTTAAAATTAAGTTAAAAATGTGTGTACCACTTAAAACAACTTTAAGCTGTTTCCTCCTGCAGAACAAAAACACAACGTATAGTGGCATCCTGGTGGAAGTCCATCCACCCACCAACCCATCCATCCATCCATACATACATACATCCATATATCCGTCCGTCCGTCCATCCATCCATCCATCCATCCATATATCCGTCCGTCCATCCATCCATNCCATCCATATATCCATCCATACATCCATCCACACACCAACCCATCCATCCATCCATCCATCCATCCATCCATCCATCCATCCATATATCCGTCCGTCCGTCCATCCACCCACCAACCCATCCATCCATCCATATATCCGTCCGTCCGTCCATCCATCCATATATCCGTCCGTCCATATATCCGTCCGTCCGTCCATCTCTCACCTTAAGTATATATCCGTCCGTCCATATATCCGTCCGTCCGTCCATCCATCCATATATCCATCCATCCATCCATCCATCCATACATACATACATACATACATACATACATACATACATACATATATCCATATATCCATCCATACATCCACCCACCAACCCATCCATCCATCAATCCGTCCAATCATCCATCCATACATCCATCCATCCATCCATACATACATCTATACATACATACATACATCAACCCATCCATCCATCCATCAATCCGTCCAATCATCCGTCCATCCATCCATCCATCCATCCACCCATCCATCTATTAATTCATTCTCCCATTCATCAATCCATCCACCACCCATATGAATGCATTCATGCATCCACCCACCAATCTATTCATTCATCCATTCGTTTCATCCAGCCATTCACTCACCTATTCATCCTTCCATATATCCGTTCATTCATTCATTTCATCCATCCATCCATCCATCCAACCATCCACCCATACATCAATCAACCCATCCATTCATCCATCCATCCATCAACCCATCCATGCATCAATCTTTTAATTTATCCTCCCAATCATCAATCATCCATCCACCCATCCATCCATACATCCATCCATCCATTCATTTATTCATCCTTCCATCTATCCATTTTTACCGATGCAATATTTGTTTTTGTATGTAATGGGTTTTTTAGTGTTTTTTTGGAGAAATATCAACTTGATAGTACTTCTTATATCTAAACCAATGAACCACTAGAATAAAAAAAACAATGAATAAATCATTCAGTCAAATAATATGTGCGCGTTCGAAATAATGTTATTACCATCTTAGAGAAATCGTTGAACGAATTGAATATATTGAATATATTTTTTACCACTTTGGTCATTATTGCTTTTCGGGTTGATGCCACGTCATATTCACCATCATACAAGTCCATAATTGTTTATAAACCAATAACAGCAAGAACTACTATACGTAGATAAATTGTCTAATTGGAAAGTGTTCGCAGGGGCGGACCCGAGAAGTTTGAAAACCGTCCGTGGTTTAAGCTAGTATTCTTAATCATCATCGCCGATGTGGCAAAGTGAGGCATTTTTTCTGTGGTTGTTAAAGTACAGATTTTCAGTCAAAACATTATTTACAATCTCTAAAAAAAATCAATCAAATTGTCGATGGCTTAAAAGGCTATTCCACGTACCCCCTGGATCGATTGAAACAATGGTTATAATAAATAGGAAATCGCGAAAAGATTATTAATGATTTCGGCAATTCTTCAAAATTCAAAACCTCTAGATAATTTTTATTTTTTTTTATTTTTTTTAAGACACGCTATTTACTTTCAGTGGCATAGGGTGAGGGTACCCAAAATAGAACACATTTTAAAGAAAAATATTAAACTTCCTATAAAGTTCCTGAATGACTTTTTATTACTGTAATGAAACAAAACATGCCTTTAGCCTTAATCTTATGTATTTTTTGGGGTATCAGCATCAAGTGTGTCTATTAATAGAGCTCATTAAAGTTCGTCAGATTCACTTGGAATATATTTAGCTGGTCGAGTACCCAAAATAGAACACTTTATCTTATAAGGCAGTTTATGAATATGACTGACAGCATTTAAATAATTTTCTTCATTTCAAAAATGTTTTGACAATAACTGACAAATTTTACTCATTTATTCCCTAAAATATTCGTTTGAACATATACTTTTCCATGTGTAGAAATATGATAACAAAATTCATGTTTTCGCATCGTACTATTTCCCGGGATTTTTTTTCATTTCGTTTTTTAATATTTCAGTTGAGTTTATTGGCAATGTTTAAGAGGTAGGCAGATGATATTTGTTCGAAATACATCAAACTATCTAAATTTTGATCGAGAATATATACCATTACTCGTTATTGCAAAATAAAAATTGCTGCGTCATATATATAATAAGTGTTCCATTTTTGGTAGCCTCACCCTACGCAGAGACGTATATATACTATATATATATGGCTTTATATGCCTGTGCCCTACGGTAATGTCGACTCGTTCTGTTCAATCAATAGAGTAAATTAACTTGTCGTACAAGATACAAGAAGCTTTATTTAACGTCGAATAGGATGGACAATAAACATACGCTCTCAGGAGCTTGTATTTCGATAAATAATTGATTCGTCCAATTCGTTTGCAACATCTGTTATTTGCAATAAAATATGTTTAAATCAAAATTGATTAGCATGTTACAAGTCTATAACGCGAGTTAGATATATCATTTTTATGATTTTTTGAAAAGCAAGATCCAATTCGAATTAGAAGGTGTTTTTTTTCTTCAAAATAGTTTGGAACAGTCGGAAAGCGAGACGCAGAAAAAATCCGGTTTGGTCCTTTTCCGGCATTGGTTTTATACGTTAGGCATTACTCATGCGCCATTTGCAAAACATAAACAAACAGGGATCTTGATGACTAAACATCACAGGGTTTGATAGAAAATTACAACATTTCATATCGGATAGATCGAAACATCTGATACTGAAACATGGGTTGTATTGTAGGCTCGGTAAGTATGAAAATAATGTTTCTTCAGCAGATAAGCAGTCTGGTTGTGTTGACTTGTAATCTTTTGCGTCATAAACAAAAGTACCATGGGTAAAACTTCTCTTTTAACTAACTTCCTAGTTAAGAACCTGTTTTATGTTTTTTTAAGGATAGTGTTTCAATGATGAGATGAACATATAAATGGCGATATCAATATGTGATAAGACCCGCGGTAATAAATCAAAATTTCATAACTGACAACACCGAATCAGAACTCTTTCCAACTTTCCAAATACAGCTACTGTATATTAGGTAAANTCTTTCCTCTCCCTCTGCCTTATGCATGCACCAGTCCCCACTTTATCATTTCTATCTCGGTCACCACACAATACCTTTTAACATGCACAGAAGCGCACGCTGCACATAATACTCGAAAGAGGGTGATGCAGAATATATAGATAGATAGATAGACTTGTTCGGCGATAAAAAAAAATGATAATAAACTCTGGTTCCCGTCCCATACAGTGCGAGTCATTACAAAAACAGACATTGAGCACAATAACAATATGTTTTGCTGTTGTGTGATTTCAAATAATCAAGGACCTTAAATGTTGTTCTTATCTACATATTTGTGTGTACTTTCACTTATTCATACAATGTATAATTTGTTTAAGTTTATAATAATTATATAGGCCAAGAGCAAAACATAGGCATGCACCATGTACCAGGTAACATGATTAAAGAACAGGATTTAATTCATTATAAATGAATTTTATTTTTGAGGGGGTATGGCCTGGGGGTTAATTACCAATCCACCAAACTTGTTTAAATCGCCTAACTGGTGCTGATTTCGATGCTTTTTTCATTCATATGCATATATGCATTTGTAGATGTGGAGACACATCAATTAGGTCTGAACGACTCTCTTTGCAGATCTTGACACACCTGTTGGTGTCCTAGCTTCTACTTCTGTAAAGGTTTAAACAGCAATGCAATCTATCAATAAGCTGATGACACTTTGCCAGCATGCTTAGCCATAAAGACAATTCAGATTTTCAGCGCATTTGAAGGATGTTTAGATCTAGATTAGCGCATTCAATGAGATAAATTTGTTAGGGTCAGGGGTAAAAACTAAGGTCGGTTGGGGTACCTGAAACGTGCATGGCTTTTGTTTTGGCCTGATCACATGCATGATACTGCATATATGTATATATAACGATATTCCATACTTTTCAGTACCCTAATGTTATAGCTAGTATCAAATAACACTTAAAAATGGGAATTGGGGGTTACCTTCGATTCAGCTTTAACAGTTTAAGTTCAGTTCTATCCAATAGATATATATGAAATAAATGCTGGAATAAACTATTTAAAAAAATAGTTTTATTAAATATCGTCCAGGTGACTTCAATCTGGAACAAAAGTCAACGTCGGAGATATAGATAAGCATTAAAAGTTTTGCTATCTGATTTTTCAACATGTACGTATACAGAAAAAAATCACCCATTTTGTCAACCATTTAGCTGCATGCGGGAAAGGTAGCTTCCAGACTCGATCGTTTTTTTTTTTTATTATTATCGGCCGATTATAAAAAAAATAAAACGATCGGACCTAGAAGCTAGAATCAATAATATTATATCAAATTATTTTGGAAGTTGTGATCCTATCCAAAAGGGCAAACGGATTGGTTTATTCGATAATAATCAGTCATCAGTCCATCATTATTTTTTATATATATATTTTCAAAATTTTATGACATAAACATGTATATATATACATACAATGTACATGGGCGTCTATCAGTCCATCATTATCACTTGTTCATTTGCCTTTCTTTTCCCCACAGCTTGCCTGCTGCTGTGGAAGTGCGGCCTGTAGCCTGTGCTGTGCCGCCTGCCCATCATGCAAGAACTCGACTGCGACTCGGGTTGGTTACTCCATTGTGCTCATCATTGGAACAATTGTAGCCAGTATCTTCCTGGCTCCTGGCCTACGAGGTGCACTGGATAAGGTAAAAAAAACACACAGCAGTTCATGACAGTAGACCCATTGTTTCAATTTTAACTCCCTTATAGTCTTATAGATGAGTTTTGACTTTTGGGTATAGAAAGGACATGTCTATTTGATGTGTTTTGACTCTCCATAAAAAAAACCCATTGTTAATTAAATTATGATTGGAATAACTGAGTGTATGGGAAACCTCATTGAGACCTAGACTAGTTCACTTTTTCCTGTTTTGTTGTGTTCAGGATATTTTTCCATTGCAGGTTCCTGGATTGTGTAAAGACTATTTCACTTTTGACATTTTTACGCCGGAACACGCTGACGACAAGGTTTCCATGTGCGATGACATGGTCGGATACCTATCTGTGTACAGAATCTGCTTTTCTATGGCTGCCTTCTTCTTCCTCTTCGCCATAATCATGATCAAAGTCAAATCCTCCAAAGATCCGAGATCTGGTATCCAGAATGGGTACGTAGCTAAAACTAGGTTGATCGATTCAGATGTTCCACCTGGTTGAGATATTGAATCCTACACTGTATATACAGTTCTGAGTTTGTGCTGAGGTATTTTCGTGTTTTTGTCAGGAAATGAATATTCACACTGTGTAGGGCTGAAACGATACACTGGGTGCACAGAAAACCGCGCTAAATTGCTTTGGTTCCGTGTTTTGGTTCGGTTTTTAGTATTACCTGACCGGAATTTAACCATACATGTGTAACGTAAAATTTGATTGGCTCTTATGATAAAAGCTGTGCAATGGTTGTTGCTGTTACAAAACTTTGCATAAACAAGCATGCAACATGGCGGAGCTTCAATTAAAAAAAACTCCCGCTTCCTTTCGCTCGCCTGTTTGGCAACATTTTGGATTCCGGCTAAATGTCCCCGATAGAAAATCACTCTCCACTTGTCGCATATGTTTCGTAGATGTAAGATACAAGTCCGGGAACACATCAAACATGGTGACGCATTTGTATCGTATCGTATCGGGGGTAGATTTTGTGATACGTATCGTATCGTGGTATAGGTGTATCGTTACAGCCCTAAGTCACTGTGTATAAAAAAAGGTACATACTGTTCATTGAACTCTATTATATGCAGTTTGAATTTACTTATTAGGAAGTATTTTCTGTAGCATCATCCTCAATACTCCAGGGGTTACGCTCACCTTCGCTGTCTGCATCCCTGGAATATGTCAGAGCAAAATCAAAGGCTCAAAGACAGTCATTTGATTGGTCTTAGGTGAAAAAAGCTGACCAATCACCAGGCTGATACCTGTCCTTTGAAGATTACAGGGGAGCAACACCCGACTTCAGAGCCTGTCAATTTAACAGTTACGCTAACGTAATATTCTTTTGGTGTACATCAAAGGATCAAGCTAGTCTCCTCGTCTCATACACAAGGTGCTGCACACTGAGCCTTAGATTTTGCTATGGCATATTCCAGGGGTGCAGAGAGTGAAAGTGGGCGTAACCCTTGGGAGTATTGAGAATGCTGTGTAAAAGCATATGCTGATAAAATGCATCAATTTTTCATACATCAAAACAGTTGAAAAAGTCATTAAAATATTTGCATTAGTTCCTAAGTAGATGAACAATACCAGTATACGTTAGACTTAGTAATCAATATTATTCAATTATAGCCTTTGGCTGAGGTCGATAAATCCAGGTATCGACCGAAGTTAAAGGCTACAATTGTTTCATTATTTTCAAAAAAGTTATGTAAGCAATCTGAAAAAAACACAAAAAAGCCTTGGAAGCGGGAAGGTGCGTTGTTTGGAGACACGTCATAATTCTATTTTTAGAAACACCCACTCCTTCAACAAAAATCACGCGCTCCAAGTCAATATTGGTGGATGCGGGATGCACTTCTGGCCAATTACAATCACTTGCCGGGAATAATATGAAAAAATGATAACAGGGTTATATTCAGTTTAAGGTGAACTTTCTTCTACATATAAATTTAAATAACACAGTTCATAATATTAATGAATTTCTACTCCCTGATAATCCAGCAAAATTATCAATATGTTCTGATACTTTATTTAAAAGTTTATATCTGATATCATTGTAGAGTGGACAAAAAACCATTAAAAGTGTCTTTAATTTTTTTTCTAGTTACTGGTCCATAAAGATACTGATTCTTGTAGCTATTTGTGTCGGAGCATTCTTCATCCCAAGAGGAGAGTTTGGACAAGGTAAGATCTAAGAAAACAATTGTAAATTAAAAACACAGGAAAGTATTGGTATTACTCTCTAATATGTTGCATACAAGTACTATACAGTACTGATAGTTTTGTTTATCTCGTCACCACAAGTAGTGGAAGCAAGACTAAGGTGTTGCTTTTCTGGCGGTGGCATCAACCTTAAGTTTTTGCGTTTAACTTAATTTCACTGAAAGTATAAGTGCTAGACCAACCAAACTTTGACCATAGATGCATCTTAGGTTGTACATCTCAACCCATGCATCAAATGCTGGATGCTGCCTACCTTTCATGGTCCATTGACTTTGTCAGCATCTCCATCAACATTAAGTTTTTGCGTTTATGTGAGTTTCTCTGATATGTGCATTAATGGTTAAAGCAGGGCACAGGCGAAACATATCAATCGGAATGGCTTGTGTTTTAATTTACTGATACCTCTCTCAAGGCAAAAAGCAACAATAGCATTGTTATCAGGCAAGTGGGTTTCTTCTGATCACGAGGTCTAGAATAATGTCTACAACGAATTCCTTGATTTATAAACAAAAATAACAAGTTCTTTTTTTGATTTTTGAACATCAAAGTGCCTAACAAACTTATATGTGCAATTAAAAATCTTCAAAAGTGGAATAAAATTTGAGCATCAAACTGAAACTTGACAACCTGTCTTTCATGAAACCATTTTCATGCTCAACTTCAGTTCTCTGCTCATGCCCAATTTCTGCTTTCGGTGATAAATTAATAAAAATCCAAATTTTCTGAATGATTTGAAAAAAATTCTGGAGGGACAAAAAGCCAGACACCATTTTCAATATTTACACTTTGGCTTTTTGTCATGTCGGATGATTTAAGTGAGTTGCATGGAAGCTGATTTAAGCACAAAATCCATGCTTGAGCATGTGAACAGTTTCATGAATACGTGTCCAGGAAATTAAAAGGCAATTGTCATCTCCAGGCTGATTTTATCTTTTAACAGCTTTTGATTTATTCACCCCTGAAGTTTCATAATGAACTATTCCGACCTTTGATTTGGAAGAGTTCAAATGTGTCTTCAGGGGTGAATGAGTTTAGAGTGCGTAGTGTTATCATACTGTTTTAGACTTTTACCGAGGTAAAAGATATCATTATGTAGATTAAACCAAGAATGCAAAATAATAATGATTCACTGTATGTATACTGAACAAAAAAGAAACACACAATTAAATTATGCAATCAATTAGCCTATGATATTTTTGGAAATTTGTACAAAATTTTATATCAATATGAAGGGACAAGTCTACTCTTTACAATACTGTAGAAGAAAAGTCTGTGTGACGTCACTCGTGTCATCAGTAGTTACTCAAAGTGGGATACCCGCGAAAAACAAAATGACACTTCAGTACCTGGTGTGGGCACCTTTTGCACGAATCCCTGCACGGATTCTCCTATGCATTGAATTCATGAGAACATTTATTCGCCTTAAGGGAATGTTGTTCCATTCTTGTGTTAATGCTGCGATCAACTGGGCGCGGTTAGTTGGGGGGTTTTGACGTTTCCTAATACGCCTGTCCAGCTCATCCCACAGATGCTCAATGGGAGACATGTCGGGGCTATATGGGGGCCATTCCAGAGGCTGAACGTTGTTTGCCGTGAGAAAATCACGACAGACTCTGGCAACATGCGGTCGAGCATTGTCTTGCTGGAAAATTAGGTTATGACGTCTGAGAAGTGGAAGGACATGTGGTTGGAGGATCTGGTCTCTGTATCGAACGGCATTGAGGTTTTGATCCAGGACCACTAAGGGGGATTTTACTCCATGGGAGATGCCTCCCCAAACCATTACAGAAGCCCCACCGAATCTATCGCGTTCAACCACGCATGCGTCGGCGAAACGCTCACCGCGTCTGCGATATACCCTTTTTCTTCCGTCTGAGCGATACAGACAGAATCTAGACTCGTCGGTGAACATCACACGCCTCCATCGACGCATCCCAAACCTATTCGGGCCATGTCTGCGCATCCAGTCAAGACGCACTTGCCGCCTCCGTGGTGTCAGAGGTGGCCCGACATAAGGTCGGCGCGCAATGATTCTCTCGGCACGCAAGCGGTTCCTGGCAGTTTGAGGACTAATGGGTCTGCCATGAGTACCTAAGGTATGCGACGCAGTCTCTACAGCAGTCTTGAATCTGTTGCGCAAGTGCGACAATCGAATCGCCCTGTCTTGTCGTGCGGTCGTTACACGCGGACGACCGCTCCTGGGACGATCGGAAACTAACCCAGTAGCACGGAAATGTGTAGAGACGGTTAATTGTACACGGGCCAACACCAAACTGCCGTGCGACAGCAGTTTGGCTATGACCATCCATCAACATCGCAATTGCTCTACCCCTCTGAATTTGCGTTAAGCGTGGCATCTCAGTCAATGGCGAAATCAAAATGCCAACGTGGAAAATTAATGTGGCTAAACTTAGAGTATCCGTTGAGATTATTTGTTTTAAAAACTCCGGCTTGACTCGATCACGCCGCGTGATTTGGACTAAAGAAGCTCACAAAGTCACACAATGACATCGTCACACTTGGCTGATTTTAGGGTAGATTGGTGAGAAGGGAGATCGTTCTTGATATAATACCTGACCAAATATTCCATTATTTCCTTACAGCTAAGGTGTACTGCAGCGGGGGAACTTTGTGCGTTTCTTTTTTTGTTCAGTATACATCTTTCCCTGCCCAAACTTTGGGCTATTTTTGAGAGTGTACCACACATACAGACATAGTCACTAATGAAAGAATGGTATATTTTTCAGTATGGATGGTCATCGGTATGATCGGAGCCTTCCTCTTCATCCTGATACAACTTATCCTCATCATTGATTTTGCGCACGGCTGGGCCGAGAGCTGGGTGGAGAAACATGAGGAAACTGATTCCAAATGCTACTACTTTGGTAAGTTTTGGATCCAGTAGCACTGCCAAAAATTGTAACTCTGCATATAAAAAACTGTTCTTCTGGTGTGACTATAGCTTTGATAAATCTTCTCTGAAAAGAATTTAACCAAACCTCATGGGCCTTTTTATTTAAAAAAGATCAAGTCATATTCATTTGATAATTGCAATTTTAGAAATTAATATCAGTCCATAGAAATATCCTTGGCTTTAATTGCCATTACGACAAATGTGTTTCATGGTCCTTGTTTCTCTTTTTCTTCAGAATTCTTGTATATATTAACGTTTCCCCCAACTTATTGCCAAACCCCTTTATAGTTTCAAATTTCTTTGGACAAATGGTGGCAGTATAACAAGGCTTTACTGTGCCTTGTTTGAGACGTTGTGATGTGACAATATCAATGAAAGGAAATTATAGAAAATTATATGGAATTTACCGCAGGAAATAAGCAATACTGTATACTGGGATTTTTTTTGCGACAGTTTACTTTCACCTAAGTGCCCTCCACAGGATGGTGAAATATCCTAGATAAATTTGGCCGATATTTGACAGGGCAAATGTTTGGCAGATATTTGAGGGGTTGAAAGTTTGGCAAATATTTCATGGGGCAAAAGTTTGGCATATATTTGTCAGAGCAAAATTTTGGTTGATAATTGGCGGGGCAAAGGTTATGCAGATATTTTGCGGGCGAAAGTTTCCCGGTATTAAGTACAACTTGTGTTTTGGGACTTTAAATTAAACTTTTTAAATGTTATGCTTGTGTTTCAGGACTGCTGTTTTTTACCGTTATTTTCTACATTTTTGCTCTTGCGGCCATCATCCTTTTCTACGTGTACTATGCCAAGGTAAGTGTAACACTGTCTCTTATTAATGGAAATTTAATTTCCTTGCTTTCCTTAGATCTAAATCTGCCTTTAATTTTCTACTTGTTTTGTACATAAGTGGTGCTTAGATCATCAATTCAGTGTCAAAATTGGGAAGAAAGGAGTGGTGGGGGGAGGGGGGACTTATAGAATACGGTACTAAGTTTATGAATATTCAGTTTGGTTTCTTTATATTCAGTATAGACTCAGTATGGTTTGTTTAAATTCAGTATAAATTCATTATGGTTTGTATACTTTCAGTATAGTTTATATGTTTCTTTTCTTTTCTGTATGCTATATAAAACAGAGTGATTTACATTCCATTTAATATAGTTATTTATATTTACAGGGAGACTGCACTCTGCACAAGTTCTTTGTGAGCTTCAACCTGATTCTGTGTGCGGGTGTGTCTGTATTGGCCGTCTTACCCATGGTCCAGGAAGGTCAGTCAAATCCTACATGTACATCAGGTTAACTGGAATCGTTATGTATTCATGGTATTCATGTGCATCTTTTTGTCTTATGGGTGTGGACAAAACAATATTCAAATTGATCCGTAGGTTTGTGGGGGCTTATATTGGTGGACTAGGAATTTCCTGTGATACATTTTATTTTGCACATTGGACAACAATGATGTTAATTCGGTGGTGACCCCTAATTCTTAGAAAGGCCTACTAATTAACGAAACAGTTATTTTGTTTTGGGAGTTGAAGTTTAATTTTTTCACTATTTGTGAAGAAATATGAGAGATCTTTCTCAAAGTTCATATCAAGGTTCTCATTGGGACCTAGTTGTGCATGTTTCACTTTGAGACTGATAAAAAAACAAGATGACTGCCACTCGACAGATAGTTCCATAATTTTATATGTAGGTTAACGTTCCCCTAGCTCTAATTAAACCTGCATGTTTCATTTTGGGACTGATCAGAAAAACAAGGTGGCTGCCAGGCATTATCTGCCAGATAATGTCATTTATACACATAACAGCAGTATGAAGTTTTGATCACTAGGTTCCTCAAGTTCCACTTACTGTTTTCATGACTCAATCAAACAGATAAGTGAAAAGGAGATAATATAGGAGGGGAAACAGATAAGTGAAAAGGAGTGAATATAGGAGGGGAAAAAATCAATCTTGCATTAAACTTTTGAAGATGGTACGATGCTGGGCGTCGAGGTCTGTCTGGGATCTCTTGTTTTGTTAGGTTTTAATTAAGGGTTGTTCATGCAACAAATTTGTAGTACATGTATAGCTACTGACAGACCCCTATAACAATAAAGGCAACTTCTGTCGAGGTGAATATGTGGTTATATGAACCTAAAAGTGATATTGACCGAGACAAAGTTCCACATAACCACTGGCACATATTCATCGAAATCAAAGAGTATTTTTGCCATGATAACAGTTGGATGTAGACTGCTTCCTTTAGCAAAAACATGCTTTATTTTCCAAAAATTAAGAAAAAATGAGGAAATCTTCCCAATTTCAATAAAAAAAATGTTATATTTTCCCAATTTATGTAGGAACAGGCTGTTATAAAACTTACGTAGATAAAACACTTTCTTATAAAAAATGCTTTAAAAAACCAAATGTAGTGTATAATGATTGTGTTTCTGTTTTATTTAACAGTGAGTCCTAGGTCAGGCCTGTTACAGTCAGCGGTCATCACACTGTATATCCAGTACCTCACCTGGTCAGCCATGTCCAACAACCCAGGTATTATCCTCTTCAAGGTTGATTTCAAACGATGCTAAAAATATTGTTTGTCCTAGCTAGTTGGCGGTAGATCGGTGGACTTAACTCATTCACCCCTGCCATTTTATAATAAACTTATCCAACCTTTGAATTGAAAGAGTTCAAATGTGTCTTCAGGGGTGAATGAGTTAATAGTTCATTTACACATATGTTCTTTCTTTAAAGAATCCTCGTACCACTGCCAAAAACTTTAAGCTATGCATTCGAAACATATTTTACCTTCATGACTATAGCTTAGATAAATCATCTCTGAAAAGATAGAGTTTACCATGTGGGACTGTTATGAATAAGTAATAGAGATGGAAGAAACCAAAAATGATCCGCCATTGTATTCTTAGTGTATAAAACCAGGGGGCCTAGACTGGGATTCGAACCCTGGACCTCACATTGTTATACTATCTTTCTAACCAATGGAGCTACCAGGTCAATGGAAATGTCCGGACTCAGCATCTGCGACATACATGTCCAAGCGGAAGTTAGAAGTAGGTAACTGTACATATACGAAAAACCACAGAGCGATGGCGCAAGGAACCTTAAGTATATGTATAAGTTTATACTATTGAGCTATCGAGCCCAAACCAAAATTCAATATGGAAACCAGCGGCTCACCGTTAGATTTAGGCACCTTATAGCTTAAATTGGTTTTGTGAACTTATTCTTGAAGAAAAAATTTGCATAAAACTTTCCACAAATACAAATATTTTCATCTCTTCAGCTTAGTAAACTCTATATAATGCGCACCATGCATAGACTATGTTCGTTGCCAACTGCGTTCATACTACTGTATAAGCCGTCAAAATGAAGGTCAATCCTTAAATGTATCGGCTGCCTTTTTTGAATATTTGAACCATGAATCATTATTGTTGTAAAATAAATAGTTTTTACATTTTGTTTGTATCACATACATTGAGAATTCCTGGATTTGTTGGCACAGATCGTTCATGTAATCCAAGCCTGCCAGAAATCTTCAGCGGCAACACTACAGGTTCCCCATCCTCAGGCACTCAAGATGGATCCATTGTTTTTGGACAGTTTGACTACCAAAGTCTGTTGGCTCTCCTTCTGTGGCTCTTTGCTGTCCTCTACTCCAGGTAATTAGTCCTAAACTTCAGGAAACTAGTCGATAAATGTGAGGGAATTAGTTAGTAATCTAAAGGTGATTATTGCTATACTCCAGGTAATAAGTCCTAAACTTCAGGTAATTAGTCGTTAAATGTGAGGGAATTAGTTAGTAACCTAAAGGTAATTGTTGCTACATGTATGCTCCAGGTAATTAGTCGTAAACTTCAGGTGATTAGTCGTAAACTTCAGGTAATTAGTCATTAAATGTGAGGGAATTAGTTGGTAATTCTATAGGTAACTAGTGCTATCAGTCCTAAACTCCAGGTAATCAGTCAATAAACTTGAGGGAATTAGTCGATAAACTTGAGGGAATTAGTCGATAAACTTGAGGGAATTAGTCGATAAACTTGAGGGAATTAGTCGATAAACTTGAGGGAATTAGTCGATAAACTTGAGGGAATTAGTCGATAAACTTGAGGGAATTAGTCGATAAACTTGAGGGAATTAGGCGATAAACTTGAGGGAATTAGGCGATAAACTTGAGGGAATTAGTCGATACATTTGAGGAAATTAGTTGATTATCTATAGGTAATTTGTGCTATACACCTAAGTCCTGTTGTTCAAAAGATGGTTAATTTTATCACTGTTAAAACAACTTTTTTCAACCTCTAAGAATTTAGTCAGTATACAAGGTAAAAAGTTGTAATTTTGCATGTAATTTTACTCTACTAAATATTTACTATCTTTAAAGCCTGAACTCATTTAATAGCTGTGTTTAAAAAAATACACAAAAAAGAAATTGCTTATATCATCCATTACGCTAATCGCCATTTGAACAGCAAGGCCAAGGTAATTAGTCCTACACTTCGAGTATTTGGTTGATAAATTTGAGGGAATTAGTTGTAATTCTAAAGGTTATTAATGCTGTAAACCAGGTAATTAGTTTGTTCCAGATAATAAGTCTGATTTATAAGAAAATTAATCTGATGGACAAGATAGTTGAACTTATTTACAAGATAAATATAATAAGTCTGATACACAAAATGATTAATATGATACTCGAGATAATTAGTCTGATACATAAAATAATTAATCTGATACACATTATGATCAATCTGATACACAAAATAATTTATCTGATACATAAAATAATAGTCTGATACACAATATGATTAATCTGATACACGAGATGATTAGTCTGATACATAAAATGATTAATCTAATACACAAGATAATACACAAGATAATTAATCTGATACATAATATAATTAATCTGATACACAAAATAATTAATCAGATCCACAAGATAATTAATCTGACACACAACATAATTAATCTGATACACAAAATAATTAATCAGATACACAAGAAAATTAATCTAATACACAAGATAATTAGTCTGATACACGAAATAATTAATCTAATACACAAGATAATTAGTCTGATACACAAGATAATTAATCTGACACAACATAATTAATCTGACACACAAGATAATTAATCTGACATACAAGATAATTAATCTGATGCACAAGATAATACACAAGATAATTAATCTGATACAAAAGATAATTAATCTGATGTATACACAAGATAATTAATCTGACACACAACATAAATAATCTGACACAAGATAATTAATCTGACACACAAGATAATTAATCTGACACACAACATAAATAATATGACACACAAGATAATTAATCGGACACACAAGATAATTAATCTGATGCACAAGATAATACACAAGATAATTAATCTGATACACAAGATAATTAATCTGATACACAAGATAATTAATCTGATACACAAAATAATTAGTCAGATACACAAGATAATTAATCTGATGTATACACAAGATAATTAATCTGACACACAACATAAATAATCTGACACACAAGATAATTAATCTGACACACAAGATAATTAATCTGATGCACAAGATAACTCACAAGATATTTAATATAATACACCAGAAAAAATTATCGGATACATAAAAACAATAATCTTATACCCAGATAATTTATCTTACATTCATGAAAATGTATTCTGCACTTGAGGTAATTAGGCCTTGGACCAGGTAATTAGGCCTTGGACCAGGTAATTAGGCCATGGACCAGGTAATTAATTAGTCCTTTATTTACTATAATACATCATCTGAGATGATAAATGTAAAGGCTATTTACTTTTGTTGTCTCTTATGAGGATTCAAAACCAACATAATTTTATTGATGATTTTAGCATCAGGACCTCCACCCACAGCCAGGTCGGCAAACTGACCATGTCAGAGAAAACCATCCTACAGTCGGACACAGGTATGTAGTACAGGTACTCGCAGTTGCAAGCATACCCTAGTTATTGTAAATACTTGTTGTTAAATATTTAGTTAAGCCAGGGAAGCGATTATGATAAAATTGTAAGAATTGTTTAAAGATTCATGTGTTACATTTAGAGTTTTAAAGTAGAAATAAAATTAATAAGTTATTAAAAATGTTTTATTTGCACACTGTTGCGATATAACGAAGGGAAATCTACGTATTCAACCATGGTAGTATTTGTTAACTCATTCACCCCTGAAGACACATTTGAACTCTTCCAATTCAAAGGTTGGAATAGTTCATTGTGAAATTTCAGGGGTGAATGAGTTAAGAAGCCTTCATATTTGAAGTTAACACTGTGATATTAATAGCCATGCATTCTAAACCTGCACATCATTATTATGAATTATATGAATTGTTTGCATATGCACACAGCATAATTATGTATTTCAGTTGCCATGGTTTGGAAATGATTTTTCTTTTTTTGGCTCAAATTGACTTTATTTTGGTTGTAAAATAGAAAGTGTTAGATTTAGGCTCATCTGATGTCAACCCCACCAACTTAAATTTGTGTCATTATGAAACAAACTGTAATGCAATGAATTAGGGCTCAGTAAAAAAGCATCCGTTGTGAAATGGAACATGAAAACCATGATGATGATGGCTTACTTTTATAAATTTAAGTGATTCATTGACAGACTGATTAATGTGCATCCAGCCGTTGAGTATCAAAACTTTAGCCCATAACGTACACTATTTGTTCAATAGAATAACTTCTATCAATTTTGCATGATACGAAAGTTGACCTGATCTACGGTACTGTTCTTGCTTATCAAAGTGATGTCCCTTTATACACTCTTCAGGGGAAAGTCTTCTGTGTAAGTGTCCTCGGATATTTTCTTTTTTGTGTTTGGAACGGTTCATTTCCTGTAATTCCTTGTGGTTGGAATGATTTAGCCACCTTTAAAGCATCTTGACTTTTATTTGGTTGGGACAGTTAAGTCATTTATATGTAAATGGAACATTTCTTCTGCCTGCTCTAATTCTTTGATGTGTGCAAAGTTCTGATTCAACTGTTCCAACCACAGAAAGGAAAAGCAAGCTTATGTTTATGAAACACTCCCCCTGTTGATTTTTTTGGTATGTCCGAAATGCTATGTTGCAGTAGTTTATAATTTGGCACTGTTAAAGCACTAAAACACTGGTATCTAATTTTGCCCTCATACATTATGTGCTTTAAGTTATAGTACATGTAATTTATACACGAGGGATCTTATATCAGTTTCCATTTCATCAGATTTATGAAATCGGACAAAATAAAATTCTTTTAACTAAGCCACTCGCAAGCCAAAATTAAAAAAAATCTTAACAATTTTAATTAATCACATAGATCATAAATGAAAACAAATCTATCACATGATTAAGAATTATATAAAGATTCATATAGCACAGCCAGTGAAATTTTTATGTGTGACAGTTCGATGACTAGTATGACGATTTTGTATTGTCAACTTGTACATATTTCCTACCTTTGTGTACATACGCTTCACTTGTCATTTGTCTGATTAATGAAGGTGACAGGGTATGACTTGAACCATCCTAGTCATGGAAACAACAAACATAAAAACCTCACTGGTTCTGCTAAATCAATTTTTATACAATCTGTACTCACAAACCGGAAAAAAATGGTTTTGAAAAATGATACAGACTTTTTGTGAATGTCGTGATACCATGTCATTTTGGAAGTCAGAAATTTCGCCATCATGACTTTATTTCAATTGTCTTCAAAGAGACGTCCTGATGTAATTTGGATGTCTGTGTTTTCTTTCTGTGATTATTTTATGATGTCACAATATATAGGCCCTATATCATTCCCGTTGTTCAGTGTAGATATCAGAGTGATCATGTGATAAAATGTATTATGCTATATATTAAATACCACATTTAAACGTATATCAGGTAATTTTCCATATGTAATACATATACATGTGTATGTGCTTTATACAAGTTAAATAATTCAAATAACATCTGAAAATTTTTAATCGATAATGAAAAAAGACAGATTTGAAAAATTATTGCATCTTAATTAAAAGTCTTGTCATGAGTTTTGTTTATGTTTTACGTCCTATTAACCCTTTCATCCCTAGGAATTTTTAGTAGACTCTACCATACATTTATCTGGATGAGTCCATTATGGTCTACAGTGGTGAAAGGGTAAACAGCTAAGTCTATTTTTAAAAATGAGCCAGCTGTTTTTGGTTTGTCATGAGATGGGAATAATATTCATATATATATAAATATATATATAAAATGTTTAACCTTTAGACCACTGTAAACCATAGTGGACTCATCCAAATCAGTGCATGGTAGAGTCTACTAAAGTTACACAGAGGGGTGAAAGGGTAAAGTAGATATAGGTTGAAGATGGTGGACATCAACTCAAACCTGTAAAAAGTATTTCAATCAAGTGAACTGATATAAGCTTTTGGCAAAAAAGTAATTTCTAGAAATGATCACACTTCAAGATATTAGATCAACACTTCATTAAAAACTCAAATCATATACAAAATGTAAAATGTAGATAATTCGATATCAATATTCCGCTTGTAATTGCTTTAATGTACATAAACAAATGTGTCGATTGTTTGATTTGTAGCGAAATTAAACTACAGAACTCAATAGAGCACCGCTAGTGCATGCTTTATGCTTTGTATGTCCGGCAGATTAATTTAACAGCAAGTTTGTATTACACTCCCTCTTAATAATGAGAAGCATTTACAAGACGAGGAATATCTCCCTAATTTCGATAAAAAAAAGCTTCCTTTTGCCAATTCATGTAGGAACTTGCTGTTGTAAAATTAAGGTAGAAAAAACACTGCTATATAGGTGCTGTTGTTGAATGAGTCTACGTGCATAAGACCCAGATATTGGATGGCATAATGTTAAATACCTGTACATTTATTTTAATTCATTTATGTCCTAATCTAATGAGATACAACTTTTTTTTATCTATAATCCATGTATCATGTAGAAATATGATTAATTTACCTGATTTCTAATTGTTGTTATCTGATTGTTTTTTGTTTTTTGTTCTAATCTAGAGCAATTAGATATTTTTATCCACATTCCCTGTTTCATATTATAAAATATGATAAATTTACCTCGGATGATTTCTAATATTTGATGGAAACTGATTGTTTTGTGTTGTGATACCGGTAATACATGTAGTAATATATTGAGATTGTACAAAACTCCTGAAAGGAATATTTGTATTGCTATGCTAAAAATGAAATGCCATGCTAATATAGATATAATGCTGTGCTAGTATAGATATATAAAACAATTGTGCTTTCAGGCTTTGGTACAGTATATAGAAAAAGTTTCACAACTGCAGGTCGATAAAATAAACACATTTATACTTGTACAGCAAAATCTAATTAATACCATTTGTGCAGCGCTAGCACAGTTTTGGGTGTAAAAAGGGGTTTGTCAATATGTATTGGCAGATCTATGAATAATTGTCAAGGTCAGGTATATAGTAGCAAGGGAAAAAATATTCTGGCTAATATTATTTAAAAAAATATTCTGGCTAATATTATTTTATATTCTGGCTAATATTATTTTATATTCTGGCTAATATTATTTTATATATTCTGGCTAATATTATTTTATATTCTGGCTAATATTATTTTTACACACACTTTCTCATAAAATTTAACATCATTGAGTACTCAATATTTGTATGATTTTCTAGGGTCAATATCTGGTCTACGAAAGTTTTAATAGGTCTATAAGAAACCCAATTTTACATAAACCTATAGATATATCTCTTTATGAATATTGTCAAATCTTTTTATAATGCCAGAAATCTTGGTTGATACACATTGTCAATTCTTTTATAATGCCAAATATCTCATTTGATAAATACATTGTCAATTCTTTTATAATGCCAAATATCTCATTTAAAAGATTGTCAAATTCTTTTATAATGCCAAATATCTCATTTAAAAGATTGTCAAATTCTTTTATAATGCCAAATATCTCATTTAAAAGATTGTCAAATTCTTTTATAATGCCAAATATCTCATTTAAAAGATTGTCAAATTCTTTTATAATGCCAAATATCTCATTTAAAAGATTGTCAAATTCTTTTATAATGCCAAATATCTCATTTAAAAGATTGTCAAATTCTTTTATAATGCCAAATATCTCATTTAAAAGATTGTCAAATTCTTTTATAATGCCAAATATCTCATTTAAAAGATTGTCAAATTCTTTTATAATGCCAAATATCTCATTTAAAAGATTGTCAAATTCTTTTATAATGCCAAATATCTCATTTAAAAGATTGTCAAATTCTTTTATAATGCCAAATATCTCATTTAAAAGATTGTCAAATTCTTTTATAATGCCAAATATCTCATTTAAAAGATTGTCAAATTCTTTTATAATGCCAAATATCTCATTTAAAAGATTGTCAAATTCTTTTATAATGCCAAGTTCCATGCAGACAAATAGTACCTGTGCCAGTATAACAAGTTATAGTTTTCAAATCAGAATATTTGAGGTTTTTTTTAGATTAAAAACAAAAAATCTAGAAATATTTCTCATACTGGAACAAGATAAGTCTGTTTTTAAAACTGAGCTGTTTGTATTTCTCCAGACTTCTAAAAATTCATTTGAATATTTCTCATAATGTATAAAATAAACTAATTGGGTTCAGAAATGTCCTTGAGAAATTAAAAAAAATCAGATTATCAAGCTAATACAAAGAAAGTTGATTTCAGTGTGTAGCTGTTTGATTGTAATTAAAACCTTTGATCTCGCTGATTCAAGAACATTTGCGACTAAAACTTATTTTGTTTTCAGAAATGTAGTACACTGTACCAGTATTTTGTATATATTTTTTGCATGACTGTTGCATTGCCGTTTTGTTATCATTTGCAGCCGATTATCAAGGTGTGTATTAGTGTTGCTAGGTGTTACACCATTACCTAGTTTGTTTTGTAGTCATGGTAACCATATTTCTTTGTCTGATTCTGTTAATATGACCCTTATTTATATCTGACCTTTGAAAGACTCTCCTCCTAAAGAGCTCGGTTGATCCAACATATTTTTCAAAGGAGACTGTTTTTTTTTTAAATTGAGATAGAATTTTGACATTTTTGTTTCACCGCCACAAAGTAGCGGAAGCGAGACTAAGGTGTTGCTTGTCTGGCGGCGGCGTCAGCATTTAGTTTTTGCATTTAAGTTAGTTTCACTGAAAGTATAAGTGCTACACCAACCAAACTTGGACCATAGATGCATCTTAGGTAGTACATCACAACCCATGCATGAAATGCTGGAGGCTGCCTACCTTTCATGATCCATTGACTTTGTCAGCATCTCCATCAACATTAAGTTTTTACATTTAAGTCACTTTCATTTCAAATGTCGTGTACATTGAGTTTATTTCACCGATATGTGCATTGATGGTAAAAGCGGGGCACAGGCGAGACATATCAATCAGAATGGCTTGTTTTGCAAAATATGATATTTGTGATCTTTCCAACTTTTTCTATACTCTGCCAACTAATTAGAGCAAATGAGGGTATTTAACCTATTCACTCCTGAAGACACATTTGAACTCTTCCAATTCAAAGGTTGAAATACTTCATTATGAAATTTCAGGGGTGAATGAGTTAAACAAAGTAAAACTTATTGTAGTAAATCTTCGTGGAAATATACTGCTCGTTTGGCTTTAATATTTTAGAGCGGACTTTGGACAAATATTTTCCTATTCTGTAAACACTCTGATTTCTTTCGCTGTGCTGTTGTGTTGTGTACACTTTGATATAATTAACTATATAATACTAACTATAGCCTAGCAACACGACATAACACTAGTACTCCCATTATGCACCGTGCTATTTTCGTAGCTGTGTGGAATAGATGCCATGTCACAGTTTACTGGTACTTGTTCAAGTCTTGATGCTGATGTGGTATATTCATATACTGTACATTATGTATAAACCTTTAGCAAGCCACTATCTCCAATAATCCTCTTTATCCCTTCTGAGAATTTTAATATCCACATGATCAACACCTGTGAATATTAGATTCTCTTTGTACGTGTGTATTGTGTGTTAATCTCGGTTTGTTTTGATTTTCATTCTCATTCAAAAAATTACTAATAAACATCACAGCATAATCACACTTTCATTGATAACAACTATAATTAACTCATTTATCATGTTTATTGAAGATAAAGTAAAGGTTGATGTATTACAGGAAGAGAAGAAATCATGAAACAGATTTAAATTTTAACACAAAGTCTCTGGTCTAAAATAAAGATGTGTGTGCTCCAGGTTATATGCCCACCTGCTGTTCTTGCCAGCTCATAAATTTGAACCATGTATGATAAATTCAATGGATGTTTTTAATTACCTCAAAATTTATAAATTACCTACCAACCAACACTTAGATTTTCGAGCAATGAAATTCTGTAAAACACATATATCTTTAACAAGGCATTTAAGTTTCTGAAAATTAAATCTTGTTAAAGAGTGTTGTTCAGTGTATGACCAAATTTGTTCACCAAAACTAATCTAGCTGTATCCAATGTTCAGATAAATCATTATTTATTGATAGAAAGTCAAATCTGGTAACCTTTTAATAGCTTTCAGGAAAGTTTTGTTTCTGATAAAGGTAGATCAAATGTGGCAATTTATGTTCAAATGTTAATAAGTATTAGTCAAACATAATAATAAATTTTACTAGTTCAAGTTTTATGAAAATTTAATTATCTTGTTATCATTTTAAAACATAGTAAAAGTCACTGTCTAGTATAGTAAGTAATTACAATTGATCTATGGAAATCGCTTTCACTGTACATGTATTATATATATCAATAAATAGTGACAAAAAAAACACCTCAACAATTTCATCTGAAACAGATTTCAAATTCTACTCTTGCACGGCCTTGTGAACAGGTTCCACAGCTACTAATGTTTGTAACTTCCATGTATGTAAACTCATTCACCCCTGAAGACACATTTGAACTCTTCCAATTCAAAGGTTGGAACAGTTCATTATGAAATTTCAGGGGTGAATGAGTTAAAGTAGGCCTATTCTGTTATAATAATTGTTTTAAGAGATTTCTGCACAGCTGTCATGAATTCTAGACTAATTAGGGCTTGTGTGGGATTTGATGCATGTGACATAATAAACTGTTAAAATACGTACAGATATATTTCAATACCATCAGAGTTAAAATATAACTGTAGTCAATATTTATTTGGATGGTAATAAGAGATCTTGTATACTTGGTTGGAAAACATGTTTTATCGTTAGCTTCATTGGGGGGAAAAAAACTGTTATAAAGAAAAATGGAAATTTTGCAACCGTATCTTTATGTTACAGCTTCCTCAGAATCTGACAAGGATGAGGAAAAGGGTGGGCAGAATGTCTGGGACAATGAGGAAGAGGCTGTAGCCTATAGCTACAGCTTCTTCCACTTCATGCTGTGTCTGGGCGCTTTGTATGTCATGATGACCCTCACCAACTGGTACAGGTAGGTTGTTTGACTGTCATACTGGAATCTCAATCAAAGTCAAATCTAAGATAGACATTTCTTTTAGCCCACCATCACCATTTAGTTTTTAGCGATAGCCTGTTTTAGCGCTTTTCGTGCTTTAACTATTGCAGTCAGTTATGAAGTATGAAGCGACAATAGGTCTTCTAGATCTGTACATTGTTCTCTATTGAGTATTTTTCAGGGTGCACCAATTCATGAATGAGCTAATATGTTTGTATGTTAATAACTTTGATAATGAGCTAAAATTTCTGTGCACTAAAATTTTAGTACACTAAAATAAGTATGTTTATGGTATCTCCTATACCTGGCCACCTATAGCTGCCAAACAAATTACGCTAGTACTTCTTGACATGGCGGAATGTTTCATAACTTTGCCGTTTGCCACACTTTATATAGACTAGTGTCCCTTTGTTGATTTCTTTGTCATTGTTGCAGATGGTTCAATGGTTCATTGAAGTTATTATAATACATGGATGAATTACCGTTAAGTGGTGTGTCACCTAGCATTTTCATGTGCTTGGACACTTAGTCACTTGTAACAGAAGTCATTATTATGCCCCCGCCATAAAATGTTGGGGGGGGCGGGGGGGCATATAGTGTTGCCCATGTCTGTCCTGTCCCGTCCTGTCGCGTCGAATCCTGTCTCGTCCCATCCATAAGTGGGGGGCATTGATGTCTTAAAGACATTTTCTAGTTTATTCAATGCCTCTGCTAGGAGTCGAACCCGGGACCTCTGGTTTACTAGTATTACGCTCTACCAAATGAGCTAAAGAGAAATTCTCCCTAGCCGAGTCAGTAGGATTGGCTAGTATTTTACCAGGGTGACATACTGTTAAAGGTCCAAGTTTGTTCCATTCATTTCTAATCAAATTACAATTGAATCTATTTAGGTTATAACATTACTTTTAAGACATCTACTAAGATTTTCCTTTTATTTTTGCAGCCCAAGTTCTGACTTCAACACACTTAACTATAATATGCCGGCACTGTGGGTGAAGATTGCCTCCACATGGGTTTGCATAGCCCTGTATGTCTGGACCCTGATTGCACCCCTCATCCTCCGCAACCGCGAGTTCAGCTAGGGGACACAACTCTCTTTGTGAATCAGAGTTAACCAAGGCAGTCTTCTGATTGTGAATTGAAGGACTTTAAAAGTTAAGACTACCAAAGGGGGATAACTCTAAATGAATCGAACTTGACATGGTTGGAGACATGACCAACTTTGCGAGCAGTAATTAACGCTCCTGAGTTGTGATGATTTTCAGACTGATGTGATATATCTGATAGTGTGTGGAGACACAGGAACATTTCTTTGTCTAATTTTAGTTTTTATTGTCCTGTGTTATCAAGTTTCATTGGCTTTGTTGGGTGTCAAAGTAAGATTTGAATATATTTGCTCCAAGGACAAAATTAACAGCAACATTAATATTTTACATGGATTTTTTTTATTTCTTAAATGTGATTTTTCAACCTAAATTTAATACAACAGCCTGTTCTTCCATGAATTGGGAAATGTAGCATTATTTTTATCGAAATTGGAAATTAAAGATATTCCCGATTTATTTCTACATTTTTGGAAAATAAAGCACTTTTTAGCCTGGGGAAGCAGGCTGTAAAAGTAGGCAAAACAATCACTGCTTAATGTAGGACTCCTGCAGACAATTTGTTTGAAACTCAGACTGAAGGAAAATGCCTATGTTACACATTTTTCCTGTAATTCATGCTTGAGTTGGCTCTGATAGCAGCAGCGTCCTAGCATTTAGACTTTGCCTGAACATTATCAATTTCTAAGAATTTTTTGTATAACTTTCCAATACGTGGTCAGTTTATTCAAAATGTCAATTTTACCATCCACTCCAGATATGCCATACTTTTCTTTTAGTGCTGAACTCTTTTTTGACCAGAGATGCATATAGTATGGTAGATACATATAGTATGGTAGAGTTCATCCTTGAGACTTGTCGTGCCAATGAAACTTGTTTACCTGTCGACCTAGAGCTTGTTACACACTGTCATTATTTGTTTTCTTAAGTTTTGTGATGTTTTCAAAGAAAATTAGCTTAATGAAGAAAACATTTGACTAATGTCCTATTTATCAAAGATATTTAGTAGTTTTACTATAAACCTGTAGAATTGCTTTTGAGAAATATGTCTACAATGTACAAGGCATGATGTAATTATGTTTCAAACTGGAAAATGTTGCCTTGTATTTTCAAATATTTGTTGTTGCTTATCAAGATTTTGATAGATTGCAGTTTTGCTTTCATATAAAGAACCCACAAACATTATTCAAAGTTAATTTTTAAATTTTTAAAATTCATCATGCGTGATGTTTCATGTAAAGAACTTAGCGCAGATCTATTTATATATATGTCACATGGTTTTTTCAAAAGTAAGGCAGTGAAGATAACAATAATAGCACGCCGTCCATCAGCCATGTCGGACTCCACTTAAAAAGATGCGGTACATTTCTTGACTAAAAACTGTAAAGCTTATAAGTTTGCTTCTTATTCTGTTGTGTTGATGCTGTATGTTGATTGTCAATATATATTTATTATCGATGAAATATACAGTTAAACCTCGTTATGCTGCCATCATTTGCTCAGTACAACGTTGGCGGCGTTATAAAGTGATTTGGGGAAAAACATATTTCAGAGGAAATGGAAAGGAAAGGTAAACATTTTAGCATGTACAGTGATAAGTGAGCAGGAAAATTAAATTAGGGGAATACGTTTGCGAAACACCGAGATTGAAAGTGAAATAATTGGCATTATATCGAGGTTATGCTTTATCTTCTATTGTCAGTAAGTTTTGTGCTTATTATTATCAATGTGATATATGTTGAATAAGATATATGTTTATTAAAAAATGGTGACACAGATTTTCATTCTTAATTTACTCCTTAGGAATGCTCTGTACTTGGAAACACTCACTGTTTGTTTAAAAAAAAAAACTATCTGGACACTTACATAGAGAAAATTGAGGGAAAACATTTTCTCTACATTGAAAATTCTGCATGCGACTTCTTCTTAGTGTAAATCTTTTCTTCATTTTTGTTGATTCTTTTTCATGACTTGAACATTTCTTGATTTCATTTGCAACATCCAGGAAGCTTGTTTATGGAAAGTGGATGAGATTATTGTATGATGGCTTCTCTCATTTCCTGTATGTTTTCGTCATTCATCACTTATATTATATGATATGATGTTAATAGTAAGTATTTTTGGGATGGTAATGTTTCCCACCAAATCAACTGTAAGTTGTTGTCATTCCTTTTTGTATCTATATCTTCAAAAATTATTGTGTATAAGTTTGATTCTTTATTTCCTAAAAGTACATTAAAGTTTGTGAAATGGACATTCTTTAAGTTCACCCCTGAAATTTCATGATGAACTATTCCAACCTTTGAATTGGAAGAATGAAATTGTATCTTCAGGGGTGAGTAAGTTAATGCATTAAGTGAGAAAATTAAGACATGAATTAGATTATAAAAAATAAAAGTCTTCTTCACCGGTATTCCGTTTATCAGGAAATGTTCGCCGCAGTGTAACTTTCGCCTGTTTAGCCGGCCGCAATATTATGAGATTAAATTTATTATGAAAGCAAATATTAGTACAAAGCATATATACTATAAGGTATTGCATGGAAAGGGCAAAATTGACATGGGTGAATACGGTTATTTCTGGTGTAGGGTGAAAATTAAGATTTAATTTAACCCTTTTCACCACTGTAGACCATAATGGACCCCTCCATATTGATGCATGGTAGAGTCTACTAAAGTTACATAGGGGTGAAATGGTTCAAATGTGATTTAATCTTGAATCCTGATCTGTTAAAATGATTAATTGTCTTTCATTATTGTTTTCAGTAATATGTATAACGTCTTTGATAAATTGATCAAACACAGCAACAATATAAGTTTTTCTATTTTATAGTTAGATAACGGACCATAGAACTTAGAAAAATATTTTTACCAAAGATAGGATTTCCTTGAGTGGGTAAAAGAGTATCAGAAATGATTGAAAACAAATCTTATCATAAGGTATTTAATTATTGTAACATATTGTTTTTAAATCTTATATTTATATATATTATACCACAAAATTTTAACTTTGAATAAAATGCAAATATCTCACCAAAGATATTATTTCTTCATTTGAAAAAAATCACATCAGAATTCGGAAAAAAACACCTTATTAGAGATAATTTGTAATAGTTACATATTGTTTTGTGCATCCCAGTGATATCATGTCATTTGTAAACACATAGATATAGTATGGTAATTAGTCGTCCGGTAATTTGTTGTCCTATAAAAGAATACATTTTTGCACTTATTTTTTGCACTTATTTTTTTCTTTTCATTCAGGCCTAGGTCAAATACATATATGGAGGTACCGACTAATTGATGCACAATAAAGTTTACAATGTAGAAGCATTGCCGGGGCTGAAATTAACTCTCTGTCCCCAGGTAGAGTTTAAAAAATTCATGATATGATTTCAATTCTTACAGTATCTAATATTAGGTTTCGTTCAACTACTCGTACATGGTGAAGAGGATAGCTTCTCTTATAGTTTATATTCTGAATTTATGCCCTCAAAACAGGCAGTAAAAATAATTTCTATCAGTGGACAAAATTTAGTTTGATGTTGATATGTATATGCAGTATTTAACACTTGATAAATGTCTGAATATCATTTCATTGATGTTAACGTTGTTTTGCATAGACATAGAAAATTTCGAAATTTTGTAAAAGATGCTGCTGTTTTTTCAAAATCAAAAGGTACTGGTCTCTGTGTTAAAAAAACCAATAGAAAAATCATCACATGTATTTGTTTCACAACTTTTAAACAGTGTAATAAACACAACTATGGTGATGAACTTGTTTTGTTTATATTTTACCACCTAGGATGAAGAAAATTGGCAGCGTTTATATTATAACGACTTTGTGAACTTCAACATTGAATGAAGTGACATCACATTTCTTCGCGATGTCACCGATGTCACCGTTTTATGTTCTCTAACTGTGATGTCATAGTTGACTGTGTTTGGTCCAAGTCAAAAAATTACAATGTGCCAAATATTATGTTCCTGACATACTATGAATATTGTGGTTGATCAAAAATGGTTCTTCAACTTGTGCTGGTTGGTTGCCATGTTTATCTAATGCTCGTCAGTTAAACTAAAATTTAGAAAGACCATTGGTACAAGCCTTGTCTAATTTATAAACTCTGCTGCAAGAGAATTTCCGTCTAACTTACATTCTAAAATTCATTAGTGACATTGTAAGTTCTTTGGAAAGAAATAACAAACAAAAATCATTAAAAAAATATGTATACTTTCAGTAGTGGTGCTTTTGACAATTCATGCGTATCAGTTGTTCAAACTTGTTTCAAAAAAATGATATTTATATCCTTAAGTGTACTTTTTTTAAATGAATTTCATGACTGTTAAATGACATTTTCTGTACAGTTAAAGCAATATATAACTGAAGGGATTGTAGAATACCGTTAAATTCATGAATGCATACAGGCAATGCAAAATTAAAAGATAGAAGTTTTCTGCCCCTTGGTATACAGATATATTAAATTTTTAATGGAAAACCATGAAATTTTTATTTTATAACATATATGAGGGTTAAAAAGCACATTTATGTCCAGCTGCTTGTACTAGTCACATCCTGTCGCACTGCAAGCTTGTACGGTTGTCAACAAAATCAATCAACACTCATAATAATTGAAATAGACGTTTATTGTACTAAACAACATGATGTTATCAGTATATATCATTACATAATCAGTACACAAGTAGGTAAAGACAGATTTGACCAGTGTTGGTGAGGGTATAACGGGCCACTCTGCAAATAGAAACGTCAGTGAGGCAGTGTTGTTGAAGGGTTCTGACTCATAGATGTAGAATTCAGAATCCCCCACCGCAGTTGTGTTGGTTAATTTCAGAAAAGGCGTCAAGTTCGGCCTGGTCAAGTGATAAATAGATATTTCTGTTTTGTAATTTCCTAACAGCAACGTTGGAGGACGTTTTTATTCTGCTGGAGGATCCCTTCTCGCTGCTGTGGTGCCAGGTACTAAGCCAGTTAGTGTTCAGGTGTTACAGTTAACTTCAACTCTATATAGACTAACATAATCTTACCCCAACGTTGGGACAAGACAGACCAATCGCAAACCAAGAAGTAAGATTGCAGAGGGCACAGGTACCAGTGTCAATACACCCATAGTACCTGTGCCGACGGCCAGACATTTAAGAATCTTACCCGAGGGTTGAAATTGTTCTGTTATAATTCTGGATTAAGGAATGATTTTTCTTCCACATTAAATTCACCAGGTAATTTCATGAAGTGCAAACTTTGATATCATAATTTTCAGCAAATCCGAGTTATCTTGGACTGTGATCAGCTATTGTTGACGTTCGTTATTTGATTGTTGACGTGACGTCATACAGCTGTCATGACGGGGTATTAACACCACTTTTACCCTGGGATCAGACTAATAGAATCTTCCCTACCTTGAGGGTTTGACAGTCAGAGAAATCTCCAACCCGAGGGTTAGACAACCAAATAAATCACCCGAGGGTTGGGGATTTCTCTGTTACACCCTCAAGTTAGGGGATGATTATTTTTCTCCCATCCTATTATTTCAGTCACAGCTCAACCGACAGTAGTCTGCCATGTTTGTAATCAAAAGCACATGTGGAGTATGAACATCGTCATTCACTTTTGATCATTCTTGTATGCATCAACTCATTGAAATGTATCCTTATGATGTTAGCATTAGAAAACCATGACCATAGAGCTTTTACTTTTTGTGATTTTTCAAAGGCCTTCGATCGAGTTTGGCATAGAGGCCTTATATACAAACTTCATCAACATGGTATTTCAGGCAGTCTTCTTAATTGGATAACAAACTATCTTTTTGAGCGTAAGCAATCCGTCTTTATTAATGATTCACATTCTTCTGTAAGAAATATAAACGCCGGTGTTCCCCAAGGTTCAGTGTTAGGCCCTTTATTCTTCTTGTTTAACATTTCAACCGAACTTTCCTCATTATCTCGTCTTTTTGCTGACGATATGTTGCTTTCATACTCATCACCAAACCTAGAAAATATTGTAAGTGAAGTAAATAAAGACCTAAAACTCTAGAGAAATGGTCTAAAAATTGGCTGATGTCCTTCAATCCAAAAGACCGAAATCATGATTGTTTCTGATATAAATCTATCCTTTCAACCCAAATTTATTTGTAATGATACTTCCATCCTTTTAACAGATAACCACAAACACCTTGGAGTTATACTAAGTAGCGATGGCAAATAGAATAAACATGTAGACAAACTTATCAAAAAAGTGGCAAAACATATAGCAACCCTTGGTAAAATAAAATGGTTACTCAGTAGAAATAACTTTGAAACACTATATTTAACGTACATTCGACCCTTATTAGAGTATGCATGTGAAGTCTGGGACAATTGTGGAATAGCAAATTCATCAAAACTTGAAAATATTCAGATAGACGCTGCACGAATTGTTACAGGACTACCCATATACACAAAAATTGAACATATATTTAATGAAATTGGCTGGGTTCCACTAAGTAATAGAAGGAAAAACAGAAAATTGTCCCTATTCTTAACAATTAAAAACAGTACAGCTCCAAATTATTTGTGTAACAACATACCAGATAGCATTGGGGATATTTCTCGTTATAACCTAAGAAATTCCCAACATTCAAGACAACCAAACTTTAGGCTTGAAACAATGCGCAATTCTTTTTTCCCATCAACTAAAAAAATGTGGAATGACTTAGATATATTAGGAATTTGGCTTCTCTCAGTTCATTTAAAACAAATATAAAATCAAAAGGTAAACTACATAAGTGCTTTCTGGTATGGGGTTCACGTATATTAAATATACTTCATTGCGGTTTGAGAAACCGTATGAGCTCTCTTAACTATGACCTATTTAGAGCAAATTTATCTAATACAGCTGAATGTGCATGCGGTAATCCATGTGAAGACTCGTATCACTTCCTCTGTGTCTGTCCCCTATACACCCAGCACCGTAATCTATTAATAATAGATCTACAAACTTTTCGTGATGATTTAACTTTAGACTTGCTCCTATATGGCGATCACTAATTCAACAATGACGAAAATGGCAAAATCTGTCCAAAATTATATCACCAAATGCAACAGGTTTGGTTGAATTTGATCATCTTTCTCTCTCTCTATCACTCTTTTTTCTCCGACTCTACCGGTGTTACTATCCTTTACTTCGTTACCCTATCCGGTAATATAATTTATTGTTAGATATCCAAAACAAGTATCATGTATTGTTTGCTATCCAAAATAAGTATTATTTATTGTTTGCTATCCAAAACAAGTACTATTTATTGTTTGATATCCAAAATAAGTATCATTTATTGTTTGATATCCAAAACAAGTATTACTCATTGTTTGATATCCAAAATAAGTATTATTTATTGTTTGATATCCAAAAATAAGTATCATTTATTGTTTGATATCCAAAACAAATATTATTTATTGTTTGCTATCCAAAACAAGTAATATTCACTGTATTATCTATTGTTTGATATCCAAAACAAATATTATTTATTGTTTGCTATCCAAAACAAGTATTATTTATTGTTTGATATCCAAAACAAGTACTATTTATTGTTTGATATCCAAAATAAGTATCATTTATTGTTTGCTATCCAAAACAAGTACTATTTATTGTTTGGTATCCAAAATAAGTATCATGTATTTTTTGCTATCTAAAACAAGTACTATTTATTGTTTGATATCCAAAACAAGTATTATTCATTGTTTGATATCCAAAATGAGTATCATTTATTGTTTGATGTCCAAAATAAGTATCATTTATTTTTTGCTTTTCAAAAAAAGTACTATTTATTGTTTTATATCCAAAATAAGTATCGTTTATTGTTTGATATCCAGAATAAGTATCATGTATTGTTTGATATCCAAAACTATTTATTGTTTGGTATCCAAAATAAGTATCGTTTATTGTTTGATATCCAAAATAAGAATCATGTATTGTTTGCTATCCCAAACAAGTACTATTTATTCCCTGATATCCAAAATAAGTGTCATTTATTGTTTGATATCAAAAATAAGTATCATTTATAGTTTGATATCCAAAATAAGAATCATGTATTGTTTGCTATCCAAAACGAGTACTATTTATTGTTTGGTATCCAAAACAAGTACTATGTATTGTGTGATATCTAAAATAAGTATCATTTATTATTGCTATCCAAAACAAGGACTATTTATTGTTTGATTTCCAAAATAAGTATCATTTATTATTGCTATCCAAAACAAGGACTATTTATTGTTTGATTTCCAAAATAAGTATCATGTATTGTTTGATATCCAAAATAAGAATCATGTATTGTTTGCTATCAAAAACAAGTACTATTTAATGTTTGATATCCAAAACAAGTATTATTCATTGTTTGATATCCAAAAATAAGTATCATTTATTATTGCTATCCAAAACAATTAATATTCACTGTATTATCTATCGTTTGATATCCAAAACAGATATTATTTATTGTTTGCTATCAAAAACAAGTACTATTTATCGTTTGATATCCAAAATAAGAATCATGTATTGTTTGCTATTCAAAACAAGTACTATTTAATGTTTGATATCCAAAACAAATATTATTTATTGTTTGCTATCCAAAATAAGTATCATTTATTGTTTGATATCCAAAATAAGTATCATTTATTGTTTGCTATCCAAAACAAGTACTATTTATTGTTTGATATCCAAAATAAGTATCATGTATTGTTTGCTATCCAAAACAAGTACTATTTAATGTTTGATATCCAAAACA